CTTCAGGAAAACATCACAGCTGTTTGTTGCTGTGGCAGACCGGATGAAGGGCCTTCCAGTATCCTCCCAGCGCATCTTGTCCTGGATCACATCATGCATCCGGGCGTGCTATGACTTGGCTGGTGTCGCATCTACGCACCTTACTGCCCACTCCATGCAGGCTCAGGCTTCATCCTCTGCTTTCCTGGCGCATGTGCACATTCAGGAGATATGTAGGGCAGCGACTTGGTCATCAGTACATACCTTCGCCGCCCCCTATGTGGTAGTGCAGCAGTCCAGGGGTGATGCTGCATTTCGTTCAGCGGTCCTTCACTCCGTGACACCTCACTCTGACCCCAGCGCCTAGGTAAGGCTTGGGAGTCACCTAATTGGAATTGATATGAGCAAGCACTCGAAGAAAAGACGGTTACTCACCTTTGTAACTGTTGTTCTTCGAGATCTGTTGCTTATATCCATTCCAAACCCGCCCATCTTCCCCTCGGTCGGAGTAGCCGGCAAGAAGGAACTGAGGGGGCGCTGGGTCGGCGGGGGCATATATCCGGCGCCATAAAGGGGGCTCCTCTGCCGACCCACTGAGTGTTGCTAGGGTAAAAATCTTCCGACGATCATGCGCGCGCGCACCTAATTGGAATGGATATGAGCAACACATCTCGAAGAACAACTGTTACAAAGGTGAGTAACCGTCTTTTCCTGAGTCCCAGGCTGGAGCCCTAACCACTGGCCATCCTGCCTCTGGAGGTCCTTTGTGAAGCCTGTCAGTCAAGTGACTCCACTTGTGTACACCCAAAAATTGTGGCCTTAAACTATTTATAGGATCCCCCCCACACCCACAGAAATCACACAGATTCGCCTCTGGACAGTTATTTAAATATCATCTTAGCAGGTGTAATCCAAATGTTAACACGTCTTTTCTGTGTGTTACACATATAAGCATGGTGCATGCCTTGGAGTGGGAGAGGGTGGCTGGGACTTTATCTTAATGTCCCCAGAAGTGCAGTTCTTCTTCGAGTGCTTGCTCATATCAATTCCAGTTAGGTGTGTGCATGCGCCGCGTGCTCGGCTGTTGGAAACTTTCCCCTAGCAGCTACCTGTCGGGCCAGCTGTGGAGCCCCCTGGAGTGGCACCGGTATGGCGTTCTATATATGACCCTGCCGGCCTGACCCCCCACCCCCTTCAGTTCCTTCTTACCGCCAATGACGGTTGTTGGAACAGTGGTCTCATGCTTGCAAGTGTTCCACTAATCCCTAGCTTTTCTGCTAATCTCTGTATATAGTTACCCAATATTAGTTAGTTAATAGTTCTTAGTTAGTTGTTAATTATAGTCTCACTACTTAGCAGGTTGGGGGCGTCTGTGTATCGCCCAGGCCGTGACAGTCTGGACACAGTGCTGACCATCCCTTTGCACAAACTCGACTCCCTATGGTGGTGGCTGAATCCCGCGCAGTAGGCGCCAGGGTTCCTTTTCGCCCACCCCAACCCACCTTGACCTTAATCATAGACGCGTCCGCGTTGGGCTGGGGAGCGCATCTGGGAAGCCTGACAACTCAGGGCCTATGGCAAGTAGAGGAACTGGCTCTGCATATCAACATCAAAGAACTCAGAGCGATCCACCTCGCCTGCCAAGCTTTTCTGACTCGCTTGCAGGGCCACTGCGTAGCGGTATTGACAGACAACACCACGGCTATGTTTTATATAAACAAGCAAGGCGGAGCCTGCTCGTCTCCTCTCTGTCAGGAAGTCCTCCTACTGTGGGAATTTTGCCTAGCCCACTCCATCCTTCTCCAGGTTTCATACCTGCCGGGTGTTCAGAACGTGCTGGCGGACAGCCTGAGCAGATGTTTCCTCACAAACAAGTGGTCGATTGGCCCGGACATCATCCACTCAGTCTTCTGCAGTTGGGGGTTTCCTCAAATCGACCTGTTCACCACATGGGCCAACAGGAAGTGCCCAACCTTTTGCTCCTTCAGGAGCCATACCCCAGGCTTGGTCGCAGATGCGTTCATGATTCCATGGTCGGGCAGCTACTATACGCCTTCCCACCATTCCCGCTGATCCACAAGTGCTTCTCAAAATCCGCAGGGACAAGGCGGACATGGTTTTGGTGGCCCCAGCCTGGCCTCGCCAGTGCTTGTACTCCACCCTCATGGACTTGTTGGTCCAGTCACCGATACGGCTACCTCTCACTCCCGACCTCATTACACAGGACCACGGTCGCCTTCTTCACCCAGACCTTCAGTCTCTCCAACTCAAGGCCTGGAGAATCCGTGGCTGAATCAGGCAGAGCTCGCCTGTTCGGATCCGGTGAGGCAGGTAGTTCTGGAAAGCCGCAAGCTGTCTACTAGGGCCACATACAGGGCAAAATGGAAGAGGTTCTCCAGCTGGTGCGCCCAAAGGCAGGTGCTCCCGCTCCAGGCTCCCATTCCTGGTATCCTGGACTATCTTCTGTACCTGAAGGACCAGTGTCTGGCATTTGGTTCCCTCAAGGTCCACCTCGTGGCCATCTCGGCCTTTCACCCAGGTGATTCTGGGCATTCGGTGTTCGCTCACCTCATCGTGGGACATTTCCTGGAAGGCCTGAAGAAGATACATCCCCCGATGAAGCTCCCCATCCCCGCCTGGGACCTTAACCTAGTCCTCTCCCGCCTCATGGGCCCTTCCTTCGAGCCTTTAGCTTCTTGCTCACTCCTCTACCTCTCTTGGAAAGTAGCTTTTCTGGTGGCTATCACCTTGGCATGATGCGTGTCTGAGCTGCGGGCCCTCACCTCTGAGCCCCCATACACAATTTTTCATAAAGACACGGGGGCTCACCCAGCTTTCCTTCCCAAGGTGGTGTCCCACTTCCATATTAGCCAGGACATCTTCCTGCCAGTCTTTTATCCAAAGCCACACAACAGCCCTCAAGAACAACAGCTGCACTCGCTGGATGTTAGGAGAGTGCTCGCTTTCTATATCAAGTGCACAAAGCCATTCCGAAACTCAACCCAGTTGTTCGTTGCTATAGCAGAGCAGATGAAGGGTTTGCCAGTTTCCTCCCAGTGGATCTCCTCCTGGATCACAGCTTGTATCCGCACCTGTTATAACTTGGCAAAGGCTCCTCCGCCTGCCATCACGGCTCACTCCACGAGGGCTCAGGCCTCCTCGGCAGCCGTTCTAGCCCAAGTACCTCTCCAGGAAATCTGCAGGGCTGCGATGTGTCTTCTGTGCATACTTTGACGTCGCACTATGCCATTGTCCACCAATCTAGGAACGATGCGGCCTTCGGCAGAGCGGTACTTTGATCGGCAATACCTTGACTCCGACCCCACCTCCTCGGTAAGGCTTGGAAGTCACCTAACTGGAATTGATATGAGCAAGCACTCAAAGAAGAAAAAACGGTTACTCACCTTTTTGTAACTGTTGTTCTTCGAGATGTGTTGCTCGTATCTATTCCATTCCCCCCGACCTTCCCCTCTGTCGGAGTAGCCAGCAAGAAGGAACTGAAGGGGGGTCGGGCCGGCAGGGTTGTATGTAGAGCGCCATGCCGGCGCCACTCCAGGGGGCTCCACAGCCAGCCCAACGAGTAGCTGCTAGGGGAAAGTTTCCGACAGCCATGCACGCGGCGCATGCACACCTAACTGGAATAGATATGAGCAAGACATCTCGAAGAACAACAGTTACAAAAGGTGCGTAATGGTTTGGGTTTTTTTTCTGTATTGAGTCTGATCTCTAGCAACCTCATTCTCTGAGACTTCAGCTATCTCACTGACGTCCCGTTTGACCCCTCGGCCTCCCATTTCTTTTCCACTGCCTTCTTGTTGACCTTAACCCTGTATTAATTCCCACACTCCTTACAATGGCTCCTCTCTCGACCTTGTCTGAGCACTGCTGTCACCAATCTCCCATCACCAAGTTCTTTCTCTCAGGCCACCATCTCGTCGCTTTCAACATAACCTCCTGCCCCCCACCCCGAAGCTTTCTGTGGTCTCCAGACCGTCAACGCCTTTGATGGCCTTGCTGTTCTCAGATGTTTCCTCTGATTTTTGTTGTGGAACCTCGCTCACCTATCCCCCGTCTCCCCTAGTGCCTGATTCCTCTGCTCCTGAATGTTTCCAGGGGGAGTTTCACTTTCTCCATTATGGGTGTGTTTCTCTTCCTTCAATCCTACCCTCCTCTTTTCCATACAGTGCTATTCATCACTGCCCACTGGTTCCAGCTCACAGAAACTCAGCCTTTGCCTCCCTTCTGAAATGCATCTTTTCATCTTTTCCCCTCCCTGCTCAAGGTCTTCTCAGCTCCTTCAAGGAGATCAACAAGATTATAATGAGTCTTCCAGCAGCCCCCACATTCCTTCTTCTCTTCTGTCACAGACAGAGGTTTTTGATTGCTCCCTACCTTTGCCTTCTCCCCCTTTCCACCCCATCTCCATTCACTACCACTGCCCCCTGCACCTCTCCTCTAACTCCTGGAACCTCCCCACTTGGACTTTGCCTCCATTCCATTCACTGCATCCGCTCTTCCCAAGTTCCCGCTTTGCAGCCGCTTCTCAGGGCCCTCTTCTTCCACCCCCCTGCAGCTTTTGGTGCTCTTGATTATAACGTTCCATTTTGAAATCTTGACCCCCTTTTGGTTTCCACCACTCCAGCCTACCTCTGCCTGTTAGCCAGCTGGCTGTTGGCTGCTCATGGGAATTCTTGGCATTTACTTAAAGCTATATTTAGATTGTATATTTTATCCTTCTCTCTTGCCCTTCATATGTTCCTTTCATTCTTAGATTAGGACCAATGTTGGGCAGGGACTGTGCTGGGAGTGCCTAGCACTTTGTACATAGTGCGTGCTATCCTAGTAGTAATAATTATAAGGGCACAACACAGCCAATGGAGCATAGAAGAATCACTTGCACAAGTGACCTGTCAGTCTATATCATCCATCTGTGACTCCCCCACTAACGTCCCTGTGGGTACTCTGGCCCATGCAATAGGCTGTGGCCTGACCATTGACTTCTGTCTGACTCTGCCTTTCAGGTTTGAGGAGTTCCTCCATCGGAAATGGTCTTCAGAGAAGCGTTTTGGCTTGGAAGGCTGTGAGGTGCTTATCCCAGCCCTAAAGACGATCATTGACAAGTCAAGTGCGAATGGAGTGGATTATGTTATCATGGGAATGCCACACAGGTAACAGGATCCTTGTCTCCCCACCCCATATTTTGGCGGCGGGGGCAGCTGGCAGGTCAGAAAGCTGCAGGCAGGTGGCAGTTGGTTGGTGGGGCTGAGGTGTAAAGGGAAGCTGGCTTCCCCTAGAACTCTTGCTCCTAGCATGAGATGACTGTTTTTCCAAAGATTATTAAATTTAATTTTATTGAAAATGATATAAACAAACTGAGATTCAAATGCATCTTGGGCATTAGCATCACCCATTCATAGCTAACATCACCCATTATACAAGGCTGCAGGAAATGTATCTTAACATACAGGGAACACCCTGTGCCTTTCTAAACAAAATGCCCAGCAAGCCCTTGTTTATTATCTGCATAACTGCACGCTGGAATCTGCAGAATAATAGAGTTTCCCCAGTAAGCCCTTAATCTAGGGTATGTGTTGTACCTCCTGCAGAGGAGCCAGGGGTTCCCTGTGGATATTGAGGCCCTGTTGCTCAGGTGCACAATACTAGGCAATTTGGACCTGTGTTTTAAGAAGGTCTGGCCTTGCAACACGGATTTAACTGGCATCTGGATCCAAATTAATTGGGAAGTGTAAAGCATGGTCTTCCTGAGGTGGCTGCCAGCATAGGGGAATCTCCTGTGGCTGTTTCTGCCAGAGTCCGGCATGAGTAAATCATAGTATTGCAAAAAGAACCCCTCATGGGACAGGGTGCTGCCGGGTGACCCACCTTGCTTTCCTCTTCAGAAGGAGCACGGGGTACTGGAGTCTCTTGCCACAGACTGTACCACCAGTTTGGCAGGGCGTGGGGGAAAGTAAAACTGCTTGTTCTTGGTGTAAAATAGGAAGAGGAATGGGTCCTTTGCCTTGGTTTGAAGCATAGATGGTGCGGTGAGAAGCACTCTCTCCAGACAGGCAGCATAGAGTGCAAGGCGAGCTGTCCACCTGTAGCTGACTGTGGCATTGATTTCACAGAGGGCGTCTGAATGTTCTCGCCAACGTGATCAGGAAGGAGCTGGAGCAGATCTTCTGTCAGTTTGATTCCAAGCTGGAGGCTGCTGATGAGGTGAGTGAGGTTTGACTAGAGTCTAAGCAAGCAGCCACATGAGAGTATAGGTACAGTATGCAGTGGGGCTCTTTCTCCAGACAGCAGACTACACTTGGCAATCCCTGTCCCCAGAGGCCCCAGCAGAATTCACGAGAAGACCACATGAGTTGTCAGTCCTAGGGTCCCATCTAGCCTGGTATCGCATTTCTGACAGTGGCCAGAACCAGCTGTATCAGAAGGAGGTGCAAGAATCTCCTTAGTGGGCAATTCTGGAATAACCTGTCCATACTGGAAACCTCTGCCTGTTCCTGACCCTCTTCAGTTAGTGGTTGGCTTGCCCTGAACCAGGAAGGTTCATAACCCTTCTGTTTTTCTTATCCTGTGACTTACCGTTGGGTGTTCTCCTTATCCAGATGGATAACTAGTTATTTATTGATCCTGCTCAGTTCATGGCCTCGATACCTTGTGGCAGTGAATTCTGCAGGGTAAATGTTGTTTTAAATGTGTTGTCTCAGTTGATCCAGTTTCCAAGCCAAGGCAGGACTTTATCCCATGACTGTTTTGTTTACCTTAATAGCTTCTTGTGAGACTTGGTAGCCTCTTCAAAATAGTCTTGAGAGTCCAGTAAATTATGAATCTTGGTTCTCCTGTAGCCTCTACCTTGCTGTCAGAGATGCTAGTGGATTAGAGAGACATGGTTGTTCGTTGACACAAGCTGGGCTGATCTGTCCCTATCCTATCATGAGCTTCTAGGTCAGGCTTCCCCCTTTCTTCCATAGTGTGGCCCATGTGTTGGTAGAGAGATCATCTTATGGAGCACTTCCCCTCTATAGCATGTTCTGATTTTTGGCCACATGCCATGCCACTAGCAGCTATAGTAATTCCTTGTTCCTCTTCGAGTGATTGCTCATGTGCATTTCACAATAGGTGTGCATACTCGCCACGTGCACCGGTGCCGGAAGTTTTTCCCTTAGCAGTACCTGTAGGGGGGAGCGCCCCTAGTGACCCCTGGAGTGGCGCTGCCCTGGTGCGGTATAAGGGGCGCTGCGTGCTCCCCCCACCCTCAGTTTCTTGTTGCTGCCAGTGAAGGTGCTTCGGAACTGCTCTGCTGTAGTTTTCCCTCTTGGACTTTGTTAGTTCGTAGTTAGTAGTGCCTGTAGTTTAAACAAAAACAAAAAGTAGCTTTAGTTAGAATTAGTTAAGTGCGCCTGGGTCGGGGCATGCCCTGTGCCCCAGGCTTTAAGTCGTGCGACACTTGCAAATGGTCTATGCCCGTGAGTGAGCCGCACGCAGACTGTTTACGCTGTCTGGGGGAACCCATCTCAGCGACCGCAGCAAGATTTGCAGATCTTTCAAACCTCGGACCAAGAAGGAGCAGGACGTTCGGCTCCAAGCCATTTTCACACCACTGCACCACTCCAAGTCAGCACCGAGCACTGTGGCATCGGTGCGCGGCGACCCAACGGTGCCATCCATCAGTTGGCACCACTCCCTGTCCATGGAACACTCTAAAAAGGCGAAGAAGAGGTCTTGTCCGCCAAGGCACCAGAGCAAGACTGGGGGAGAGACTAGACCCACGTTAGGCAGCTCTCGATCCCCATCGGCCTCGTGGCCTCCGACTCAAGTTGAGCGGAGTAGCCCAGCCCACTCCGAGCCAGCCTCCCTGGACACCAGTGGCCACATTCGGGTGCCCTCCATGCCGGAGGCCCTGCAGGCGGCTCGAGACGTTATGTCTCTCTGCCTACCATATGGACCAAGACATTTTCCTGACGGTGCTCTGTCCCAAACCCCATGCGTCTAGTGAGGCACAGCCTCCACATGCTGGATGTGAGACGAGCCCTGGCCTTTTACCTGAAACGTACGAAACCATTCAGAAAGTGCTCGCAACAGCTCATCGCCTCGGCCGAACACATGAGAGGCTGGCCGATCTCCACTCAGCGGCTCTCCAACTGGGTCACCTCATTTATCCATACTTGTTACAACCTGGCGGGAGTTCCCCTGCCGCGATTGTGAGGGCACACTCGACTAGGGCGCAAGCCTTGTCGGCTGCCTTTCTGGCCCATGTCCCTATTCAGGAAATCTGTAGGGCTGCCACATGGTCATCGGTTCACACTTTCACCTCGCATTATGCGATCGTCTCCCAAACCAGGGAGGACACCGGGTTCGGCAGGGCAGTACTCCATCCCGAGTGTCTGTGAACTCCTACCCACCTCCAACAAATATATCTTGGAATCACCTACTGTGGAATGCACATGAGCAATCACTCGAAGAAGAAAAGACAGTTACCTTTCCGTAATAGGTGTTCTTTGAGATGTGTTGCTCATGTGCACTCCACATCCTGCCCTCCTTCCCCTCTGTTGGAGTTGTCTGGCAAGAAGGAACTGAGGGTGGGGGGAGAGCGCAGCACCCCTTATACTGCGCCAGGGCGGCGCCGCACTCACTACGGGCACTCCCCTATGGGTACTACTAAGGCAAAAACTTCCGGCACCGCTGCACATGGCGAGCACGCACACCTATTGTGGAATGGACATGAGCAACACATCTCGAAGAACACCAGTTATGGCAAGGTAACTGTCTTTTTGGGGGGAAGGGGAAGCTTGTGTATAATTTGTGCCCCTTCTTACACTTACACAATTTTACTTCACCTGTCCCAATCTTTCTCCCACCCTAGTGAGTTTATTCCCACTTCTTCCTGATCTCCCACTTCCAGACCCCGCTTCCTTCTCTTCTCTCCTCTCCCCCCTGCCCCATCCACCTCCCTTGCTCTCTCCAGACCCCATGCACTTGCCTCCTTTCCTCAGTGCTTCTACCTCCTGGCTGCTGTCACACCCCCAATACCCTTTGGTTCTCCCATCTCTAGGGTATAAATGAGGTCAGATGCTTATCGGAGGTGCACAGAATACAGCTGGTAACCAGGACCTATGTTGTTGAACTTAGATGCTTAAAGCTAGTAGTACTTAGGTACCCAAACAAGAGCCCTGCCTTGGCTTCAATGGGAGCAGGACTGGGTTCTTAAACAATATAAATGATTTTCACCTTTGTGGCCAATATTTGGGGCACCTCTGTGCTGCTATTACTCTGTGATATCGGCAAATGCACGTGCTCTGTGGGTTCAGTGTTTCTGGTAATTGCAGCTCTAGCTGAAGAGCTCCAAATTCATGACACTTGTATACTCCACACAGCACTAGCTGATGCTGCGTACCCATGCTGTGAGCCTATGGACTGCGGGAGGCACCAAGGACTCCTGCTCTCATCCGAAATCTCCCCAAGCTCTGCCGCCCACACTCCTCTCTTGACTCTGCTCTTTCTCTCCAGGGCTCGGGAGACGTGAAGTACCACTTGGGAATGTACCACCGGAGGATTAACCGTGTCACTGAGAGGAACATCACCCTCTCCTTGGTGGCAAACCCCTCTCACTTGGAGGCTGCAGATCCAGTGGTTATGGGCAAGACGAAGGCGGAGCAGTTTTATTGTGGGGACACTAAAGGAAAGAAGGTAAAGGGCACCGAATATCTCTGATCCAGTGTCTGTTACAAGTTTATTCAAACTCGGCTGACTGAAGGGAGGCAAACTGCTCCATCAGGAAGCCAGATTAGCCGAAGAAATCCATGTGGTTTGTTTTCCATTCTAAATTTCCCCAGAGATCTGGAATGCTGTCTGCCACAGGAAGAGTTCTGGTCCTACATAAAGCACCCTCTCCTGTTTTATTCCTCCATCAATAGTCAGAGCAGTGCCGCTTCTGTCCTGCTCCAACTTATCCGAGCCATAGCGAGCAGCGGAAGTAGCGGCTCAGCCAAAATGTCTTCTCTGATTTTGGGTGTCTTGGAGTGGGAGGCCAGATTGCTAGAAACGGTGAATGCACGAATCTCCAGTTCAAGTCAGGGGAAGGGGCGGGTGTTCAGCACCTCTGAAAATGGGGCTCAGGGTGTTGCAACTGAGGTATCTGAGAACCGAGGCATCCCAAATCGGTGGCCATTTAAAAACAAAAAAAATCAGCCTGGTGCTCGTGCTGTGTTGCTACTCAGCAGCAGCTAGAGGCCTTGGTAGTATTCTCAGAGGGGCCGGGGATGGAAATGGGAGGAGATATTGAAGTCGATGAAATGGCAGAAGGCTGAAAGATGCCACAATTAAGCTTTGTATAACTTGCTGGAAAGGGATAAGCCAATATTTGGTGGCTATGGTGGTGGATTGCAGATCTAGACGTCACCATGACTAGGTGATGCAAAGGGGATTCACTCAGACTGAGAACCACTGGCAGTTGCTCTGGAAGTCACTGAGAACAGCAGAGACTGGAGAGAAACAGAGAACAGCAGAAAGGGTTGGAGAAAAATATCTGTGGTGCGAATCCTCAAAAAGAAAAATAGAATGATGTGGCAATTTACCAGCCATTAATCCGTTCCCTTGTAAAAAGACGCCATGTGAGTGACTGGCCCATGATCAATAAGAGAAATGAGCTTATGTGGAATCATCGCAGACTCTTCTTCACTTTGCTCTACTAACAAAATGTAGTGGAGGAAGAGGACACAGAGGATGGAGGATCTGTTTGTTTCAGTGAATTTGATCAAGTGCCTCATTTAGTTCAGATGCCCTTGTATAGGGACAAAGTCTTAAGGCATATTGTAAAGTGCGGTAATGGAAAGTCCCAGCGAATGGACGCATGAGAGTCATCAGTGGGATTGGGGTTAGATCCATTCTGAAAGAGTGGTTAACAAGCAGACCCACCCTAGAATTGCAAATCCCACCGACAGAGAAATAACACTAAGGAACCTCAAGAGGGAGTAATGTGAGAGTCAGGCTGCAATGATGCAGCCTAAGGCATCGGGATGGGGAGGGAGGTCCCTTTTGCGGCAGGAGATCTCTGCGACAAGTAACCAGGTGTGAAAGTGTCTGGGTGAAGTCCTGGTTCCATTGCAGTTGGTGGGAGTTTTGCCACTGACTTCAGCGTAGCCAGGAGTTGCATGTCTAGAGGCATGTTGTGCAGCAGGAAGTCACTTTCTCTTATAGAAAATGACTATAAACAAACTCTCCCTCCCCAGTTAAACCTGACCAAACTGAAGGAACTGAATGTAAATCGAGGTTCACTGTGATCCTGAGATGTGTCCTTGGCTTGGAATAGGTAGTGGGGAACAGAGGATCCATTCCATGAGAGAGAACAGCTGTGTCCTTCAACATGTATCCTAATGTGAAAGAACAAGCCATAAAAAATGGGCTGTTGTAAGCAACTTCAGTGTCTGGCTTATAACAAACATGTATCCAATATCCTGGGAGAGGTATAAGGGTGAGATTCAATGAGATCAAAAATAGCCCTGGTCCTTTGTGGGAGGACGGAGAATATACCAAGACGAATACTGTCCTCTGGTACGGCAGCATCTGTAGACAGCACTCCACGTCTAGCGTGATTAGGCAGCAGCCTCACACAGATACTAGTGGAATTCCCATTTTAATTGCTGCACCTGAAGTGTCCTCACTAACGTTTGAGGTGGCTTGTGAAATGCACATCCTTTCTCTATGGGCATGAATTTTTTCAACCCACACTTGGGAGGGAAGTCTGTCATCAGTAAAATCAAAAGCAACACTCATTTTCATTTAGGATGATTCCCTTTTTCCAAAAGCTGGAGAAGTGAGATAGGCACTGGCGGGTGCTCAGTAAACTTTATCCACCACTGGGACTGGTTCCAATGTAACACTCAGCAGTAGATCAGTTAATTGGCATAATCCACTGATTGCCTTTAATTCCAAGAATCATTTTTAACTAGGGTTGTAAATTAATTGCCATTAACTCATGCGATTAACTCAAAAAAAAATGATTAAAAAAATCACGATTAATCTCACTGTTAAATAGAATGCCAATTGAAATTTATTAAATATTTGTGGACGTTTTCTACATTTTCAAATATATTGATTTCAATTACAACACAGAATACAAAGTGTACAGTGTTCACTGTATATTTATTTTTTTGTTACAAATATTTGTACTGTAAAAAACCAAAGAAATAGTATTTTTCAATTCACCTCATACAAGTACTGTAGTGCAATCTCTTCATCATGGAAGTTGAACTTACAAATTGTAGAATTATGTACAAAAAAATAACTGCATTCAAAAATAAAACAATGTAAAACTTTAGAGCCGACAAGTCCACTCGGTCCTACTTCAGCCAATCGCTCAGACAAACAAGTTTGGTTAAAATTTGCAGAAGATAATGCTGCCAGCTTCTTGTTTACAATGTCACCTGAAGGTGAGAACAGGCATTCACATGGCACTTTTGTAGCCGGGGTTGCAAGGTATTTACATGTCAGATATGCTAAACATTCGTATGCCCCTTCATTCTTCAGCCACCATTCCAGAGGACATACTTCCATGCTGATGATGCTCGTTAAAAAAATAATGCATTAATTACGTTTGTGACTGAACTCGGTTGGGGAGAATTGTATGTCTCCTGTTCTGTTTTACCTGCATTCTGCCGTATGTTTCATGTCATAGTAGTCTCGGATGATGACCCAGCACATGTTCGTTTTAAGAACACTTTCACAGCAGATTTGACAAAATGCAAAGAAGGTACCATTGTGAGATTTCTAAAAATAGCTACAGCTCTCTGCCCAAGGTTTAAGAATCTGAAGTGCCTTCCAAAATCTGAGAGGGACGAGGTGTGGGGCATGCTTTGAGAAGACTTAAAAGAGCAACACTCCGATGCAAAAACTACAGAACCCAAACCACCACAAAAGAAAATCAACCTTCTGCTGTTGGCATCTGTCTCAGATGATGAAAATGAACATGCATCGGTCCACTCTGCTTTGGATCGTTATCAAGCAGAACCCATCATCAGCATGGACGTATATCCTCTGGAATGGTGGTTGAAACATGAAGGGACATATGAATCTTTAGCGCATCTGGCACGTAAATAGCTTGCGGCGCCAGCTACAAGAGTGCCATGAGAATGCCTGTTCTCACTTTCAGGTGACATTGTAAACAAGAAGCAGGCAGCATTATCTCCTGCAAATCGTAACCAAACTTGTTTGTTTGAGCGATTGGCTCAAGTAGGACTGAGTGGACATGCAGGCTCTAAAATTTTACATTTTTATTTTTGAATGCTGTTTTTTTTGTACATAATTCTACATTTGTAAGTTCAACTTTCATGATAAAGAGATTGCACTACAGTACTTGTATTAGGTGAATTGAAAAATACTATTTTTTTGGTTTTTTTTACAGTGCAAATACTTGTAATCAAAAATAAATATAGTGAGCACTGTACACTTTGTATTCTGTGTTGTAATTGAAATCAATATATTTGAAAATGTAGAAAACATCCAAAAATATTTAAATAAATGGTATTCTATTATTGTTTTAACAGCGCGATTAATTGCGATTAATTTTTTTGATCGATTAACAGCCCTAGTTTTAACGTCGTCGTCTAGAATGTCGGGAGGGGAGGGCTCTGAATCCACTCAGTATCTTCCTGAGTCATTGCACCAGAGACACTAGCCATAGTCTGTTCAGATCCAGCCTCACATGGAGGAGCTTTGTTGAAACATCAAACTGGAACCTCACTCCCTAGTGCAGTCACCTGGGGGCTAAAGCATCAGATCTTCCTTGCCATGAAGGTTACGGACAGACAATGGAAAGGATGAGGCAAAGGAGCTGCCACCAGAGAGATGTGGAGATGTATGTACAGTGGGGAGATGGAGAAGAGTTTTCCATGCCCAGTCAGAGCCTGCTTGTAGCTGCTCCCCCACCCTAGCCAATAGCCCCTCCTTCCCCAGTACTGCTGGGCCCCCTTTGTGTGCACTTCTGGGCACCTTTAATACTGAAAGGAAGCCAACAAGCCACCAGCCTTCAGTTTGGTCCTCTTGTCCCCACAGGTGATGTCCATTCTCTTGCACGGAGATGCAGCTTTTGCCGGGCAGGGTATAGTGTATGAGACGTTCCATTTGAGCGACTTGCCATCCTACACCACGCATGGGACAGTTCACGTGGTTGTGAACAACCAGGTAAAAACTGGGCCCCTTGGCTGCAAGACTGGGTCCTTCAGCTCCACCGATACCAGAATCTTTGAGAACATGCACTTTAAATGCCCAGGGCAGGGAGAGTGGTTTGTCAGTCTCTGACGTATCATGCTGGTGTGCTAGCAATGGTAAGCGTGTGTCAAGGATGTGTTTTATCCTAGGGATGGGGCCCTGTATCAGGGTCTTCTCCCACTAAAATGCTGCTGTGTTGTACCTGTGAAACTCCAGTTATGGTTCACTGCTGGAATTGGGGCTTCTGGGGATGTGTATAGGCAGATCCATAAGCAGGAGAGCTCCTATGAGACAAGGCTAAGGAACAAGAAGAACTGATGGTAACTTGCTCTGGGCTAGAACGGTGAAGTCCCTAGTGTCTAGGGCCTGATCTACACTACAGACTTAGGTTGACATAAGACAGGTTACTTCAGCCTAATTATGTCAGTGTACACACTACAGCCTTGCTCCCACTGATGTAAGTGCCGATGTACCTCCATCTCCACAAGAGGTGTAGGGCTTATGTTGGTGTAGTTAGGGCGACGCAGTGTCACTGCGGGTTACTTACCTGGGCTGTTGGCTGTCATTCTTATCAAGTTCATGGCTCCATGCTGGCATCCTGAAATTGACAAGAAAGCCGGGCTGTCAACCCCGGGATGTGGAGGGGGCTCCAGCTAAAGCCCAACTGCTCCCTGGATCCCGTCTCCCCACTCCCAGCCTGCCAGTTACATGGGCTCCCCTCTCCCAGCCCGGCTGCTCCCCCGGTCCTGGCTCCCAGCCCAGCTGCCTCCCACTGCCCAGGGAGCTGCATGCAGAGCTGACAGCTCATGCTCTCAGCCCCCTCACACTGTCCCTCTTAAGTCGGTGGAAGCGTTCCTGGTGATGACACGCATCGCCGACCGGAGGAGGGCAGTGTGGATATGAACCACCGCAGTGGTGGCTGTAAGTCAACCTAACATAGGTCAACTTAAGTTTGTAGTGTAGACCTGGCCTAAATTATTGTCTTTTTGATCCCCTGTTCTGTTTTGAGCTTAGGTGACAGTGGCTTGATTGATATCCCGTTCCCTGATGCTGGGCAGGCTGGTTCTGAGCAGAGCCCAGTGGGAGAAGGAAGGGGACTGTTTGAGCTTTTATATGGTCTCTCTGAAAGAGTCTTTACCCTGTCTTACCTCTCACAAGCACCGCCCTTTACGTGGACTCCATTAATGTTCTGCCCTGGTGACTGCCCTCCCTCTGCTGAACAGAACATAACAAAGTCAGAACAGAGCTAACTTAAAACTGACCTGGATAGCTTCTCTAGCTAGACCAACATAATAACTGGGACTCCCTTTACTGGCCTGGGAAGCTTTCTCCAGGAAAGGTAATAGTTGTTCTGTAATACTTCCCTCTGGTTGGAGCTCTATTATCCAGCAGGTGGGGTAAATGGTTGTAAAAATCTCTTGTCATCAATCATGACAGCTCCTTGGTCTAACCTGACATGGAGGCAGTGTGGTCTTGTGGTTAGAGCAGGGACTGGTAGGTAGTTGGAAGCTTGCAAATTTACTCCCAGCTCTGCCAACAACTCGCTTAAAATCTGTCTGTTTTCCCTCTGCAAAGTGGAGGGAACTCTCCCTTCTCCCACTCTGTGTGAAGCATTTTGAGATGCTCAGATGATGAGCGCTATCTGATTGCCAAGCCTAACTATTTTCTAGACCTTTTTGTGTCCGCCTTCTGCTATTTTCCATGACGGCCCCAAATTGCTCTGTTTCCAGATTGGATTCACTACAGACCCCCGTATGGCCCGTTCCTCTCCGTACCCAACCGACGTTGCCCGGGTGGTGAATGCACCTATTTTCCATGTCAATGCGGATGACCCAGAGGCAGTGGTGTATGTGTGCAATGTAGCAGCAGAATGGAGAAGCACTTTCCACAAAGATGTGGTGGTTGACTTGGTAGGTGATTGGGAACCAGTTGGGGCTTTGCTAAAATCCTGGCTTTGTTTAGTGAACTTCTGGGGAAATGACAAAATGCTCTTCAGATGAACCATTGGAGGCATCTTGGACTGTGTTTGTACAGCACCTAGCACAATGGGGCCCTGGGCCATGACTGGGGCTCAGAGGTGCTACTATAATCCAAATAATAAATAATGACCCTCTTGTGCTTCTTTGCACCTTAACCCTTTGTTCTTTGGGTCTGGTAGTTTTGGGGGGGTGGGGGGGGTATCGAAAGAAATATTTAAGCGAAAACAAGGCACTGAAAATGTAGCTGTGTTGTGCTTGAAGAAAAGGAGATGCTAATTTTCCTGTAACTGCTCAAATAGCTGCAGTTTTTCTTTTAAACTGGGATGAAACCATCCCACTGAGTCATTAGTTACTCTAGTTTTACACCAGTGTCGCTCCATTGACTTCAGTGGAACCTACTCCTGATTTACACTAGTCTAAATGAGATCAGAATCAGGCCCTCTGCCTTCAGGCTGTACATGACCACGTGTACTGGGCACCGCATTTCAAAAAAGATGTGGAGAAATTGGAAAGGGTCCAGAGAAGAGCAACAAGAAT